GGGGGAGGGGGGGGGAGGGAAGGAGGGGCACAGCATTGGTGCTGCAGCAGACTTTATTCTGCATGCAGCCCCAAAAGAATAATACCTCCCCATTAAATTGCTTCTGCTGCTGCTGCTGCTGCTGCAGCAGCAGCAGCAGCATTTTGTGCAGCAGCAGCAGCTGCTGCTGCAGTTAAAACTGTTAAAATATATTGTATGCAGCAAAATAACCATAAATAATTACCATCTGCTGCTGCTGCTGCTGCACCATCATGCAGCCGCTGCTGCACCACTGTATAAGCAGCAGCAGCAGCAGCAGCAGCAGCTGCTGCTGCTGCTGCTGTTGCTTATTCATCCTCTTCTTCTTCCTCGTCCTCGTCCTCGTCCTCCTCCTTAATCCATTGAATAAATGCCTCTAGCCTAGGGTTACGAAGGAAGGGGAGGACAGCAGCAGCAGCAGATAAACCCTTAAGACTTTGTGCTGCTATTGCTGCTGCTGCTGCTGCTTCTTCTTCTCCTTGTCTTGCTAATATAGATGCAGCATCTACTGCTGCTGCTTCTGCTTGGGCTCTTGCTGCTGCTGCTGCTGCACCGTTAGTAGTATTAGTAATACTACTACTACTACTACTACTATCCTCCTTTTTCTCTCCTGCTGCTGCTGCTGTTTTTGTTGTTCCTTCTCCCCCATCTCCTGCTGCTGCTGCTGCTGCAGTAGCAACAGCAGCAGCAGCAGCAGCCCATCTAGGTAGAGACACCTCAACATCAAATAGATCAGCAGCAAGCAGCAGCTCTGCTGCTTCGCAGAAGCCTGCAGGTCCATAGAGAGGATTTTCTGCTGCTGCTGCTGCTGCTGCTGCTGCTGCTGCTGCTACTGCTACTTCTTCCCCTTCTGCTCCTGCTGCTGCTGCTGCTGCTGCTGCTGCCTCCTCCTCCTCTATACTATTATTATAAGAAAAAGAAGGAGATGCACAAAAGGAGACAGTCTCCCCCCATAGAAGAAAAAGAGACAATTTACTGCTGTCTCCTTCTACCCCTAAGAAAGGAGACAATAAGGAGCGGCAACGATGCTTCTCTACGTAGTCACTCCATCCCTGCAGCAGCAGCAGCAGCAGCAACAGCAACAGCAGCAGCAGCAGCAGCAGAAGCAAAAGAGCAGCAGTATTATTATGCATATATGATTTATATACAAACCCTAAACCCTAAACCCTAAACCCTAAACCCTCGTCTTCTAAACCCTTCATTCAAAACTTCCCCAAACCCTAATTATTTCCTAATTCTTTTGTAGGGTTTAATTAGGGTTTCCTAGGGTTTAATTAGGGTTTACTAGGGTAAAATAAGGGTTTAGGGTTTAGTAGGGTAAAATAAGGGTTTAGTATAAAAAAAATTAGGGTTTATGATAAAATTAGGGTTTAGGGTTTAGGGTTTACATACTTGTTTGCTTCTAGGTGCATGCATGCATAGCTGCTGCAATATAATCCTATAAATAACCTCAGCAACATCTAGATCTGTTTTGTTGCATGCAAGACGATAAGATTTTATCTCTAGTATCTTGTGCTGCTGCTGCTGCGGTTTATCTAATGCCTCTATGCACATTGCTGCTATCTCTGCAGCAAAACTGTCTCCCTGCAGCAGCAAATGCAACAGCAGCAGCAGCAGCAGCAGCAAATCCAGCACAAGGAGGAGGAGGAAGAAGAAGAAGAGGAAAAGGAGGGACAATTATAATGATTATGCATGCAAAGATATACAATAATAAGAAAACAGCAACAGCAACAGCAGCAGCAACAGCAAATTCAACAACTGCAGCAGCAGCAGCAGCAGCAGCAGCAGCAGCAACAGCAGCAGCAGCAGCAGCAGCAGCAGCAGCAGCATACCTCTTGTCCGCTGCGGGGTTCGCTTGATGGTTCGTCTTCATCAGAGAATGTGCTGCAGCTATCTGATGAACGAGACTCCGTCTGCAGCAGCAGCAGCAGCAGCAGCAGCAGCAGGAGCAGCAGCAGGAAATATATATACAGACATTAACAACTTGCTCCTGCTGTTGTTGCTGCTGCTGCTAAGCAATGCCTGTGTGTCTAGCAGCAGCAGCAGCAGCAGCAGCAGCAGCACTATAACGAGCAGCAGCACCAAACTACTACTACCACCACCACCACCGCAGCAGCAACAGCAACAGCAGCAGCAGCAGCAACAGCAGCAACAGCAGCAGGAGGAAAATACCTCTGAATAATCATCATCTTGATAGAATTTAGGTATAGGTAATTTAATTCTTGGTAAGATTGATGATCCTGTGCTGCTGCTGCTTAGATCAGCAGCAGACAGCAGCAACTCTTTATATATAACACCTTTACCATCAGGACCTAGATCTCCTGCTGCTGCTGCTGCTGCTGCTGCTGCTGCTGCTGCTGCTGCTGCTGGTGATTCTCCCTTTCCTCCTGTTGCTAATGATGTCTTATGACCCTTTGTCTCTCCTTCTCCTTCCTCATAATCACTATCCTGCTGCTGCTGCTGCTGCTGCTGCTGCTGCTGCTGTTGCTGCTGCTGCTGCTGCTGCAGCAGCAAAGGAGAGTTAATAGAGCAACAACGTGTATAAGGAGGAAGTATTATTCCCTCCCCTATTGTTACATAAGGAGCAATAAGACAACCAGAAGAAAGAGTAGATTTATTATTAATAATACAATTATTAGCAATAAAAGTATTAATTATATTTATATTATTATTTATTATTATATTAGGTAATAATATACTACCTATTATGCAACAATTCTTCCCTATTATACAATTCTTCCCTATTATACTTTCTCTTATTATTGTTCCTTCCCCTATATAACTCTCTCCTTCTATTGATACTAATGGTCCTATCTTACTACCTACACCTAATGATACACTTGATGCCTGTATACACATACACATACATATACATATAAATATACATATATATATATATATATATATATATATACATATACATATATACATATATACATATATATACATATATACATATATATACATATATAAATATATACATATAGATATATACATATATACATATTATTTATATTTATATTAATATTGTTTATTTATATTTATTTTATTTATTTATTATTTATTATTTATTATTATATATATATTTAGTGTATTTATATTAATATGTATATTCTTGTATATATACATCATTAATTTATAACTAAATTAGCTAATAAAATACAAAAAAAAAGAGGGAATAATTAATTTAATTAATTAAATAAACAAATTAAGTAATAAATATAATAAAAGTATCTAAAAAAAACAAAGAAAAAGACAAAAAAAAAAGGAAAAAAACGTACGAACATGGTATACACAATTTCCTTCCTCTATATACATAAGATATTCTTGTACCTTATAAGACAAATATATATGACTAAATTAGCTAATAAAATAATAAAAAAAAAAGGGAATAATAAATATAAATAAATAAATAAATAAATATAATTAAATAAAAAATA